TAATGGCAGGGGCAGCAGGAACAAGGCATTTGTCTGGTGTAGCAGAGCGTATTTTGAGACCGAAAGGCTTTGCGGAACCGACGCTAAAGCACGAAAAAAAATCCCGAGAGGCCCAAATATGCCAAGGCGAATCATTTTCAGCTTCAGGGCTGTGCTGACTGTGCCCTGGGTCGGTTCCTGTGGGCACAGGACATCTGCTCCGTGGTGGGGATAGCTCTGCCGCGCCGCGTGCAGCGATCTTCAGGGTCTGCCTCCAGCGGTCAGTTTGCAAATACACCAAATATTAGCTACCCCAGTGAGTGGTCTGTGCTACGTTTCCTTGCTTGATTACTCCTGGAGAGTAAATGTAAGCTTAATTGACATCGTGTCGTTAGTTGGAGATAGTTGTACAACAGTCAGAGGCATCTGCCATAGTCAACATCTTGTTACTTTGCAGGCGTGACGTGTTCCTGCTCTTAGACATTTGTGGGAGATGGTGGCTTTTGGCTTAATTTAGCTCAGCTTTTGGCTTAAACTGAAAGAGGAAAGTGACTTCTGTGCTTCAGCAGTAACGAGCCAAGACTTGCTTTGGCAGGGAAGCTGGACTAGGTGATCTCTCGAGGCCCCTTCCAAGCCCCAACGTTACGTGATTCTGTGACTCCTTATAAAAGTTGGTGTAGGTGATGTTGTCGTAGCCCGTGAGGATGATCTGACCTGTGGGTGGATGAAGATCATGACCATGAGATTCTCAGGACTCTATGACACACAAGGATGTGAAAGTCTGCGTTTCTGAGAGTTTATTATAAATTCTTAGAAAACTACGGTTAGTCAAAGTAAATATATACATATGTAAGTAGACTCTACAAGACACTGCAAAATTACCACTGAGAAAGCCAGTATGTGTATATATGTATATATTACAAGAGTAAAACAATTATATAGAAGATTAAAGCAAATATATACAAGAGTAAAGCAAGTAATTAAATCAGCAAACCTCTCTCAGGATTTGGGCTAATGGGTGATGGAAAAACGTCACTTCAAAGATGATCCGTGTCACCTTGTCCAGAGTCATCCCCAGCGAGGGTCTGATCTGTCTGTGAGATCTTGCAGAGAAGCTCATTTTGGGTAGGTAGCAAGTTACTTTTTCTAATTTTTTGATGTAGAGATATAAGTGGGTGTAGCACATCAGTTCCCAGAACAGTTGTTTCTGACTTCTGTTTTCCTGGAAGGAAAGTTCATGATCTCAATTCATTTATTTTTTTGTCTTGCCAACGGCTTCCTGTTGAGGAAGTTTTGGCTGAGCTTATCAAAGATGTCTCAGGATATCTGGAAAAAGAGTGAAAGCGACAAAATCGGGATGGGAAATTATAAAACGAGGAGAGGAAGCAGATTTAGCAGAGCTGAAGAAGTCAGGAGGATGATCTTAAGACATCTCAGCTGAGAGTACATGAACTGTTGATGGTACAGAGTGATGTGTGGTCGTGTCAGAAGTGACACTGCCGTGATTCCTGCTCTTGCAACTCGTACTAATTATGGGACCAAGCCAGGAAACTGGAGAGAATTCAGGCTGGAGAGAGGTGGGACGGAGAAGGACTGTGTGAGGAGACAGTGCGGGAGCAGCTGAGCAGAGGACAAGTCGAAAGCCCTGTGGGGGAGTGGCGTGGCTGCCTTGAGTGTGTGTTGGACCACGCTGGGTGCTGGAGATTTGACAGCCTTCAAATGTCTGCAGAGAGTGCTACTCAGATTTTAAGGTAAAAATATTGATAAAAAAAGACGAGGCAGGAAAGCAAACCTTTTTCTCTGTACGAGTAGTTTGAAAGCTGGGGGTTTTCCTCCTGGGCTGGCTTTGGAGGTCTCTGCGAGACATTTGCAGATACGATCGGGGAGGAAAGGTCAAGGAGCTGGCTTGAAATCTAGAAGAGGAGGAGGAAGGAGTAGGTGAGGAGCCTTCCAAGGAACGCGAGGCACACGGAGGAGGACTTCTGCACAGCCACAGCGCGAGGGAAAGATCAGCAGTGTTGGCAACCGGTGTTAATAGCTGCCAAGGTTTTACTGTTTTTTCTGCCTTGCTAGGGTAGAAAATCAGTTCCCTGCCCCGAGGATGTCAGGGCCCAGGTGACGCCTGCGGTGGGTTCAGCTGCGCTGGGCTGGCTCTCTCCAGCTCTGCTCCAGCCGTCGGTCCCGCGGTGCGTCTCTGCTGTCTGATTGACCCCGTGCGAGAAATCAGTCCCGTTCCTTCAGCGGGGTGAGAAGTGGCATTTCCATGCTGCTCAGAGGGGAACAGGCACTTTCACTTTTACTTCTGGTTTAGGCACTTTCACTTTCGCCTCCTCTCAGCCTGAGCAGAGACTGCTCAGGGCCTTCTGCTCCTGCCGAACAGAACGCGGATGTGTCGGGGGTTTGCGTGGGTTTGTGTGAGCGCAGACTCTTCCTTAGGGTGCGAACCCACCCGAGGGGGCCTCTTAAATCTGAAAGGGAACACGAGGGTCACAGGAAGCTGCTGGACTTGCTGCCGTGCTCTGTGATTATGTCATCTCATGTATTTATGTATTATTAAAGGAACTTCTTTTTTTTTTTTTTTGGACTTTCATTTTTACACTGCTGCTGAACTTGCCGGGAGGAATAAATGCTTGAGTTAGCACCCGCAAAATTGCTGTTTATGTTGCATTTCCAAGAGCTTTCCAGACTTTTTCTTTTTTAAAGCCTTTAACTTTTACCTCTGAAAGATACTGAGTATCAGAAGCTTTTGCTGATTTAACGCCCCTCAATATGTGTTCTGCGCCTGCAGAGATTTTTTAACCTCAATATCTCTGTTTATCAGCTCAGTGTCTCAAATACTCGGTGTGGAAACAGGCAGCAGGCTCCCAGCTTGCATGTTTAGGTGTGGCCCTTCTCATACTCCAAGATCCCAAACTTGTCGATGACGCGGAGTCGTGAGACGCTGTCGATAGGAGGAGCAGAATATCAAACCCTGAAAAGTGAGGTGGTTTGGAGCAGCAGCTGTGAAATTAAATTGCACCAGCTGCGGTCCTGTGCTTTTGGGACCCGAGGAGCTGTCGAGGGAGCTGGGCTTGTTTAGGCTGGTGGAGAAGATGCTGAGGACAGGGCTGTCTCCTCCTCTGGACACACATGTTGTCGTGCTCAGGGCAGGAAGCAAAAAGGGTCGTTACGGTTGGTCCAAGCCTTTGAGCAGAGCTGTGAGCTGGGATGTAATTCCCTGATCTGATTCCTGCGACTGCTGCACCAAGATCCACGAGACGCAGGAGACACAGACGAAGCCAGATGAAAGACAAGTGAGCAAAAACGTGAGCAAACTTAACACCCCTTCTTATCCTCGTTAGGGCTCAAAGAGGAAAAAAAAAAGTAATGCTGAGAGAGAGCTGGAAGACCTTTAGTTTTCATTTTTAGTTTTTCGTTTTTCTGTGCTTGAGCACCAAATTGTGTTCCCCTGCCTTTTTACTACTAATAATAATTACAGAGGCATCACCTGGAAGTGGGAGGTTTAGAAAGGGAATGTAAGAGGGCACAAAAGATCCCAGAGCAAGGTTAAAAGAGACAAAAATACTTTTAAAGACAAGACTTTCTGTGCTCCCAGTTTCCATTCCTGCGCTACATGCTTTTCTCAGAACCATTTTTGCCGTGTCTGGATTTGTCTTCGCTTGACACGGTGCGGACGCCGTCTCCCTTCCCCTCGTAACCCAAATCGTGGGGACGAGCTGGCCTGGCTTAGAGCAGCATGGCTGGATGAGTTTAATATATATAATCTGAAGTGTTATTTTTTTTTCCTGTTCCTGCTATTAGATCTTATTTTGGCCTTTGAGAGGAATAACAAGGCTTGCATCGTGGAGAATCATTGTGTCTTTTCTTCTTTTTCATTGAGGGGAGGAAAAGAAAAAAAATTATTAAAACTTACCCTTTAAAAATAAGACCCCAAGTCGTTTGCAGGGTGACAACAAATACTATCTTGCTCACCACCAAAGGAACGTGGGCTTTTCTGCATTAGAAGTTAAAACAAGAACTTCGCTATTCTCCAAAATTTCGGTGAGGTTTTTCTTAGAGAACGACCAATGTGCAAGATCTGTTCTCGGATGGGGTTTGGTGGTTTTACGTTTCTTTCCTTGCAGATGCCTGCTGTGTTTTCTAGAGTGGGAAGGAAGAAATAAACCCTCTCGGTGTGTCTGTGTTGCAAAGTCCGCTTGGGATTTGAAAACTTGTAGCTAACGAAACACCACCGGTAATAAAGGGATTTTTAAATATGCGACAGAGACCGAGCCCAGGATTTCCTGTGTTTCAAAGTGGCTCCTGTATTTAATGTTCAGATTTAAACAGCTGCAAGAGCACAAATAGTGCAGAGTTTTCTTCTGGTTTTGCGTCCGTATTTCATTTGTCAGCTGCTTTGAGGCCTCTTCTTGCTGTTGGGAAGTGTTTTTCTGAGAAGTTTTCCTTTGGAGATGTTGAGAAAATTTGAGCTTTAAGAAGGCTCTGCCCACAGAGACTTTGAAGGAAGGCTTGCTCTCATGGCATTGAAAACTACATCCACTCAAGACCTGAAAGTCTTTATAAAAGAAGAGATAACCCCCAGAAAATGAGCAGGTACCAAGATTTTTCCCTGCCTGCAGACATAACTCTCAAATTCTAAAAGAGCGCGCGGTGAATCTAAGTAACTTTTTAGCACAAGAAAAAAAATCAGACCTGCTCAGGTGCAACGGTTGCTACAATTTCTTTTTTTTATTCTTTCTTGTTGCAAAGGGAAAAATTTAAGGGCTTACTGGCAAGGTATCACTTATTCCTCCTAAAAAACTTGCGAACAAAAGCTTGGGGGTTGCATGGCTGGAGAAGCTGCTGCTCCCAGTGGGAACCATGGAGGTGCTTTGCTCCATGGAGATTTGGGCTTGATAAATGAGGCCCCGTGTGTGCTGAGTCACACTCCGCTGCCACCCGCCTTTGCTGAGGCTCCTTGTTCAACTGGGGATGCCCAAAGGTAATATTTGCACCGGGGTTTTTTTGCTTTCTTCCTCCAGGTTTGGATCTGGAGTCGGAAGAGTCGAGTTCCCTTTTGCGGACGGCGGTTTCGGTGCTGCAGAGCTCCTACTTGGACTCTGCCTCTCAGGATGGTTTTCAGTACAGCCAAGCAATCCTGGTGGAAAAGGAGATTTTTCTAAGAGAGGTAAGGCCGATGGAGGAGCAGGGTGTCGCTGGCAGCTTGGTGACGTTTCTTTGGGAGCTGCAGACCAGTAAATG